GCTCAGTTCAGAGGCTGGCCGCATCTGGCTGTGCTCTGATGTCCATCAATCCCATCCTCGTCGCCAGTGTTAAGTCGTGGGTTGACATAGCAGCCGGCACAGCGATTTCTTCAAGTAGCTCTTTATTATGGTAAGCTGGAATACAACTGACTGCGACAGCTCAGCCGGCCTGTATTTATAGGCAGCCGGCTGTCAACATTGTAACCACAACAGCCCAGAGTTCCCGCCTAAAATAACTGCCGCGGACCTGAGTGAAAACTATCTACAGACCTGAGTGAAAACTATATACAGTATCCCCCTGTTGGCCCAGGGTGAAACTACACTACATAACATGGCCAGCATGACTAAGCTGCTTCTAGTGAACCAGAGCAGCACACGGAAACACCGTTTACCTTCCTGCCGGAGCGGTACCTATTTATCTACTTGCACTTTGACCTGCTTTTGAACTGCTAGGTGGGCAGGAGCAGGGACCGAGCAACGGGAGCTCACACCGTTGCGGGGATTTGAACCACCAACCTGATCGGCAAGCCCTAGGCATCCCTATAGCTAGATAGTTTTACTGATGATGTTTAACCTTGCAGTGATTAAGCAGTGTATATTCTGGGAATAAAAATGAGTGCTACTAGTAGCAAATGCTTGTTTGGTATCCCTGATCTGCTAGGTGCAGTACAGAATTTGGATGTGACACAGCTACATTAGATGGGCTGGTAGGGATTTATTACTTATTATTCTGCCACACCTCACCCTCCAGAACTCAAAGTAGCTTGTATAGGACTTCCAGACCCAGACTTGTTTAGCTTCGGCAATGTGGCTGACTATGCTCTGAAAACTATAAGTTTCTCCCAGGAGTGGGAATTGAGATAGGAGTATCAAATGGCAGTGAAGGGACAGATAGGGCAAGTGGAAATGCCACAAGGAGCATTAACACCCTGCCCTTGTAGTATACTGTGTATGGTTCAGTGTTCTTTGACATAACAGCTGGGAGAAAGAGGAGTATAAAAACCAATTTGTTATGCACAATTAGCATAGAAGAAAGAACAAATGACACTGCAGGCTACTGGGTTTTGTTTACCATTCCAAATGCTCTTTTAAATTTTCACCTAATTAATGATGATTTATGTTTACATATACTTTTGCTACACTTGTGTAGCTCATTCTCCTTTCTATAAGCTTATGGTTGGCATGAAATTATTTTTGCTCTCTCCTCGTATCCTTACAACAACCCTGTGAGAAATTTGGCTGGAAATGACTTGCCCAGCGCTAACCGAGGGAGTGTCATAGTTTTAACTGCAACACTTTATCTGCTATACCACATTACCACAAACTATGAAATCACTGCCTTTTCTTCCTAGTTTTTTTCTGCTTGTGGAATCTACTTTCTCAGAGAAACTCTAGGCCATGAATTATTGGGGTGATGGAGGGATTTTTCTGTCCTTTGTGTTGCAGTTAGAGCCATGAAGGCAACATGATTCGCATTTGGCCTGCTTTTATAGCTGCCAGCAATTCACAACTTGCAGGATGCCTTGGTACCTTTTAATATAATTCGGTTGAGAAATGCAGGCTCCCAAAATGGAGTGCATTTACATCTATCATCTCAAACAGCAGTTGTTTATTCAAGCAGCGAAGCACTTCGTGTTGGTAGGTGTAGAAGTGCTTTACTGGAGTAGCTTTAAATGAGCAGGAGTAGTTTACACCCCACGGCACTGGCAGTGCAAACAGCACTAAAAAGAAATATTGCTGAAGAAATGGCTGAAGCAAACTACTATTGCTTGAAAGGGAACCCCCAGATACAGCCTTTCTAGTTTTGCAGAGCACATTTGATAGCCTAAATTACGCAAGATAGCCAAGCCTCCTGGGAAAGAGCAACACATCACTCTGTTCTATATCGGCAATAAATATAATTAAGGATGAATCTTGCTTCAGTGTGGAATCTGTAAGGAGAATATTTTATGACTGGGATCCACATACCTACTATCCATCCCACATCTGCTCATACCGTATTTTTCGCCCTATAGGACGCACTTTTCCCCCTCCAAAAATGAAGGGAAAATGTGTGTGCATCCTATGGGGCGAATGCAGGCTTTCGCTGAAGCCTGGAGAGCGAGGGGGGTTGGTGTGCACTGACCCCTCTCGCTCTCTAGGCTTCAGGAAGCTATCCGCTAGCCATGGGAGACGCAGCTCTCCCACGGCTAGTGGAGACCTTGCCGGCTGGGGGCTGGGGTCAGGGGAAGCTCGGGCTTCCCCCGCCCCAACCCCGCACCTGGGGAAAAAATAATTCCCCCCCCTTTATTCCCCCCCAAAAAACTAGGTGCGTCCTATGGGCCGGTGCGTCCTATGGGGCGAAAAATACGGTAATTCAGCACTTATCCTGCTTGTTATAATTCAGTGGTAATATCAATACAGCCTATGGTCTCCACAGAGCCCCAGTTCAAAACATATATTCAATTTAAGAAAGATGAAAAAAATGTATATGTTTGGGAAGCAGTTAGAGATGCAGCCCAATTCAAGGCATATTTACCCAGAAAGAAGTCCACTGTGTTCAGTGTAACTTCTAATTAGGCATGCTTTGTATTGCAGCGTTGATCTTAATGTCCCAGAACCACCATGGATCTTTTAGTATCTGTTCTACAAGTTCAGTTCAAATTACACATCAGCAAATGATAATAACAGACAACCATAAATGATGTACTGAAGTTACTGTTTCTGAACTGCAGAGAATTACACATCCAATTTGTCAACCTGCAGCAAGCCCAACACTATGACTCACTTGTTTATCTCATCCTCTGGATAATTTCCCTTGAGGTAATCCCTGCTTCACTTGTTACTACTACAAACAGTGACGTTCAACACTTGCCTGGTTCTTTGGATGCTGATAGTTTAAAGTCGAAATATATAATTGGGGGGGGGGCAAAAATGGCACTTTAGCTTTTCTCTTCCTTCCCATCAGGGTAAAGGGTGTATTTTATTTTTCGATACAGTTGACGATGAAATCAGCCACACTACAGTCAATTGGCAGAATCGCCTTTTGCTCCTGATTATAGGATGGCAAACTTGGGTTTGTCATGGAAAGTGCACACAACAGGAAGCTATGGCCAGGCATAGCTTCTCCATTGATATGTCATTATGATGCATTTGCAAACCTGTTTGTCACTCTTACAGTTTACAATTTTGGCGTACACTTAAAACCTCCAAGGCATGTACCTAAAAGATGTAATGTGTGAAGCTTATATGCAAACAATGACAACATGTTTATTTTTCCTGAACGTCTGAGGGTGATAAGCTGTGCCTGAGACTTTTCTATAGTTGGAAATTCAGATACAGATACCCTTCATGCCTAACACTGGAGGTAGATAGGAATTCTGAGATGACAGAATGACCATTCACACTAAACCACTGTGTGTGCAGAGATTTGCATGATATTCCTTTTTTCCTATATGAGTAGGATCCTGTGCAGATTTTGCATTCAGGAGACAGAACAGAAGATCAGTTCTCCTCCCTCCCTTAAATCTCATGAGGCTTTTATATAGAGAATGGCTGGGAGGATTCACTTCCCCCAAGGCATAGAGGAGAGGATCTCTGAATCGGGAAGGAAGGTTTTAACCTCTCATATTTACATTATGGCAAACCTGTGTTTGTCACTGTATGTGCATACAACAGGAAGCTGTATATGCAATTCACCTAAATGCCACATTTCTTTTTTAATCAGCCAGCAGCCACTTCCTGTACAACCTTCAGGATCAGCTAACAACTGCCTTGTTAGCCTTCCCTTGCTGCTTTAAGCTGAAGCCAATTAGTATCTAATCAGGTGATTTATCTCCCCTAGCACTACGGATGAGGGATGAGGTATCTAAGAGACGCTATACAGGGCACTAATAATCTGGATCATGTGCTTGTGTTTTTTACACTTCACTTCATCTATCAAGCCAGTGATTTCTTTGCCACAAGAACAGAACAGGTGTGTCTGTTGCCAAATTCCCCCATTGGGTTAGATTTGGACTACCTGATAGTGAAGATCTGAAAAAGGAGGGCTCTGTAGTAATGAGCTATTTCCTGATATGTTGAATTTCTGATGTATCACTTCTTCCACTACACGACGATAACTGTTATGTCATACTACAATTATACCTGCATAATGGAAGAAGCATTACATCACTAATTCAGTTATGATGATCTCTCCTTAGATTGCTACTATCAGTTTAGAGTCACAGTTAATTGTTTTTATTTTAAAAAGACACAGTAAGTTGTACCTTTTCATTAACAAAAGGTGTATAATTATTTTTATGTGACAACAGTTGTCACCTAAGTTGGCAGGGCTCATCTGACATCAACACAAAATAGAACCTTTAGTGTCATCAGCCCAGCCCTGTAGAATATGCAAAAAATGTGCCTTCTGCTAAAAACTTTTCTATTCTTCCAGGCTTGTGCAGGCAAGTAAGAATACATATTTTCATGCTAGTTAGTTGATGGTTTCTTAATTTTATTTTTTATGTGTTTTTATAATATATAGGTGTATTATTTTAAACAGCTTTGATATTTTTAATGAGGTAAATGAATATTTTTATAAAAAAATAAGTAAGGAATTTGATTATGTATATAGCTGAAGAATCCACACGCTGTTTATAAGAACTCACAAGCTGTTTAGAAGATAGGCATACACAGATGCAGTAGTAGGGAAAACTTACTCTGGTGTAGAGGATTGGAAGTTTAATCATTCTCAACTGCATAGATCCTTGTAAAGCAAGTCAGCATTACTTGTGGCTTTCAAAAGAGAGTCAAGACACACAGATGTATTTTGGGATTGTTCATAAAACATCGAAAGCTAAGAATGAAACCTAAACTTGCAGTTTGGAGGAACAAGCAATTGCTTTGTGAGAGCCTCTGGTATTCTACTTGAAAAGCTGCCTTGCAGTGAGCTGTGAGCCTGGAACTGAGTTTTATTGGCGATGATTTCATCAGCCTTGAAATCTAAAACCCAACTCATTGTTTCAAATGTATTCCAGATGGAAGGCAAATTGTGGAGCGGAAGAAAAAGCAAAGAAAAAAACGAAAAGAGGAATCCCGCCGTCTTGATGATTCTGTATGTTGCTTGATGATGGAAATGCCATTTGCCAAAGCAGATATTGAAGATGAATTTAGCAGTAAGTATAAATACTAACCCAGAGCTGTGAAGTAGCTTCAGCTCAAATTTCCATCTTGGAAGTAAACAAGCATGTTCCACTTGGGCCAAATTTCTTCGTATTTTGTACTCTGACCTTAGCAATTACAAATGCATCTATTGTAGTCCTTGAATGTTGGCGCCACCTCTCCCCAAAGTCCCAAATGTTTGCATCCTCTAACCACAAAAATGCACTCAGATCCCGAGTGAATCACAAAATATTCTGTGAACTACAAATTCTCCGCTTCCTAGTGCTTGCCCTTTAAGAAAATGCAGAAAAATGTGCAATTGTGATAATGAAAAATATAATAAAAAGGTAATGAGCAAATGCTGAGATTGTTTGAACTGCAGATTTGAAACAGCTAATTAAAGGGCTGATTGTGGCAGGAGGTACCAGAACAGGGCCAATTAAATCTTCCAGTAGCAGGAAGATAACCTCAGTTGTGTTTTGCAAATCTGGCCTGGACAGGGTGGCGCCGTTATTTCATCGTCAGTTAAGAAACAATAACCATCACCCCAAATATATGCGTGGGGAGTAATGTTTTTGTTTATTCCTGTGTTGCGTATTTTTATATTGTTAATCACCCGGTGATCCTTGGATGAAAGGCAGTTTAGAAATTTCATAAATAAATCAGAGTTGTAAAAAGACAGTGAGTGCAGCATAGAAAATACTGGAATGTACTGGCTCAGAAGCAACATTAAATTATGCCGGTTTTGGAGAAAACATAGAAGCATTTGAGAGCATATCTGTTTATGCCTATGGGACCGCCTCTCCTGGTATGCCCCGTGGAGGACCTTAAGGTCCATAAATAACAACACTTTGGAGGTCCCATGCCTCAAGGAAGTTAGATTGGTCTCAACTAGGGCCAGGGCCTTTTCAGCACTGGCCCTGACTTGGTGGAACGCTCTCACATGAGACCAGGGCCCTGTGGAATTTAACATCTTTCTGCAGGGCCTGCAAGATGGAGCTGTTCCGCCTGGCCTTCAGCTTGGACTCACTCTGACCCCTTATATGGGAATTTGGTATATAAAATTTCCCTTGGCTTTTTTTGCTAGGCCATGTCGGACCAGCATGGATAGCTGGCTCGGGTGAATATCTGATGTTTTCTTCCTTTATGGTCTTGATTTATGGGCTACTACTAAAATGAGGCTGCATTTTAAGCTGTATTTTAAGCAGTATTTTTAAGCAGTATTTTAATTAACTGTTTTTTCTTTCCCCCCCTTTTTTCTATTACGTTTATTGTAATTCATATTCGGTGTTAGCCACCCTGAACCCGGCCCTAGCCAGGGAGGGCAGGGTATAAATAAAAATTTATTATTATGATTACTATTTATTTGCAACATTTATAGCCAAGTAGATGTGTATAGGATTGAGACTTATCCTGAGGTAGTCATAGTGGAAATGGAAGCAGGGGAGTTTTTGTTACAGGTTAGGTAATCCAGAACACATTTTTCTGTGATGCCATGCATGCCAGCCTCTGACAGATTACCACAAGGGTATATGTAGCCATTGACAGGAAAGCAGATGCCCAGTAAAGGGGGTAATCGATTAATTAATTTTAGGAAAAAATGTATATGAGCTAAAATCCTCTTAAAATGTCAGGCCCTTGTTTCTGTCACCCTATGTTAGAATTCCAGTTCACTTCTTGAGGTGTTAGACAGGGGTTCCAATTCTCAACTCAGCTGTGAAGCTGTGACCTTGGGCCAATGGTTGTCTATCAGCCTAACCTACCTCATAGGGGTATTGGAAGATAAAAGGGGAAGCGGAAGAACCCACAAGCTTCTTTAAGGAAAAGTGGGATATAAGTACAGTACAGTGGTGCCTCGCAAGACGAAATTAATTCGTTCTGCGAGTTTTGTCGTCTTGCGAAGCACGGTGTCGGAAAAGTTTTGGAAAAGCTTCAAAAATCACCAAAGTCTTCAAAAACCTCAAAAAAGGCTACCACACCGCGTGCTATGAGTTGCTCCTCGAAGTCAAGTCGCAACTGTATTAATGGTGTTAAGAAAAAGGAAACAAACTTGCAAGACGTTTCCGTCTTGCAAAGCAAGCCCATAGGGAAAATCGTCTTGCGAAGCAGCTCAAGAAACAAAAAACCCTTTTGGCTTGCAAGTTTTCCGTCTTGCGAGGCATTCGTCTTGCGAGGTACCACTGTATTATTATTTTTTAAGCCACCCAAAGGGCAACAACTATGCATAAGAGGGAGGTGTCAGTAGAATAAGAGGAAACCTGAGGTTTGCTGAAGTTCAAGAAATATTTAAAAAGAAAGAAATATTTTAGAAATATTTCTAAAAAGAAAGAACCCCGCAGCCCAGTGAGGACTGAGCAGGCGCAGTAGGCTTTGACTGTTGAAGAGTAAATGGAAAACGTGTGGGATGTGTGGAGTGGAACGGTACCTCATGTGGGGGAGGTACATAAAGAATGCCTCAGATCATGAACACAGTGAGTCCAGGTTGGTTTGTACGGGGAGAGGTGGTTCTTGAGGTATTGACTCTTTGCGTACTAATTTCGAGAATTTATGTATTGTTCTACTCACTTGTGCACAGTATTGTAACACCTCTCCACCCTCCTTTCCTACCCAGATAAAAGCGCAGCTAAACCATATGTTAAAAAGACGAGAAAGAGAACTACTGGGAGGGAAAGTGAGGAAGACAATCTAATAAAGAAGAAAAAGAAAAATCAAGATAAACCAAATTACTTCATCTCAGTTCCAATCACAAATCCAAAGGTAGCCTTACTTTTTATTATTATTCTGATCTCATAGAGGACAAAATCACTTGTGAATAATGAAACCAGAGCTTAGACATTGATTCTGTGCCTTGAAGCAGAAGGGTTTTGTGCTTTGAACTGGTGGTTCCAGAAATCTTCCCTTGCTTTTCCAACAATAAAGGTGAGGAACGAAGGAAACTGGCTCTCTTGGGAGTTGCTCCTCAAGGCGCTTGATTCCCAAAGGAGCTGCCTCCTTTTCGCTACTGAACACTTGTTTAGTGGGAGAAATCGTGGGGAATAGAAGTTTGAACCTGCAGATGCAGCACCAGGAGCATTGAATTGGTTCTGCCACTGTGCTTGTCTGCGCTAAGCTCCTGGCCCCCTTCCCTCTCAGTTACCACCAGTGACTTCCACATTGGGAAGCCAAGTAAGCAATGTTGCCTTACTCTTCCCAGCAGCTGCCATTGCCCAGTTGAATGTGAAGTTGCTGAGCAGCAGGAAAAGCAGCAGGTCTCTGAAGCCGCCTCTTCCTTACTGTTCAGCTAATCAGCTCAGAAGCAGGGCTGGATAACATGGGGAGGAAGGTTATATGTATGTTGCATGGGTGCTAATAAATGCATGCATGTATATTCCATGTATGGTTGCCTTCTCTGCAGTCTCTGGTGTGTGGTGTGTGCTCTGCCCCACTGCCAGCTCTGCCCCATACATAATTTGGTTTTGGCCCAACCCACCATTGGCACGCGGTCCCTTATAGAGATGGTCCAGTATGTGGCCTCCTAAGAAGTGTGTACACATAGAGCTCTGGATATGGACATTCCTTTGCGTGCTAGAAGCCCATGTATACATGAGAATATGAATTTGGAGACAGAATGGCGTTCCCTTCCTTTTTCAAAAGAAGAGCTCTCCCACGCCATGTTGGAAGCTGTTTCTGCCAGCCTGCTGACAGTGTCAGGAATGTGCTTCCTCAAGTTCAGTTCAGACATGATAAACTGCAGCAATGACTACCTAGCCCTTTGACTGTACTCTGCTCCCACGGTTGAAGGCAGTATGCCTTTGAGTACCAGTTGCTGGGAACCACAAGTGAGTGGTGTACTGCTGCACTGAGGTCCTTTTTCCTGGCTCCTACGTACACACAGCTGTCTGCTGGAGAACAAGATGTTGGACTACATGGGTCTTTGGCCTGATCCAGCAGGGTTTTTCTTATGTAAGTTTCAGGCTCCCTTCGCCTTCCACAATGAGGAGGAGGATGCTTTTGGTTCCATTTTGATTAGTTTATTCTAAGAATAGCTATCTGTTGTTTTTAATAACTGCCATGCACTGGTTTCAGATATAAATTTATTTTAGGTCCATTTGATTACTTATTTTAATTGGACTGTAATGTCTGCTGGATGAAAACAAATCTTTGATTTCCTTAATTTAGTTCAGGAAATTTCTCATCTAAACAACATTTAATAGTTACTTGATTTAATTTCTGGTAATACTGCGGTTGAATGTATGCTGTAGCAAATGTTTTTTGCTTTGCTTCTGTGCATAGCAAAAATGACTGGGTGTAATTTGAAGACAAACATTTTCTCATATGGCTGTTACTGGATGGAAAAATAAAGCTAAATAACTTAATAGCCTTTACAAGGCAAAACTCATTATCCAACTTCATCTTACAAAGCAACTAGATTCATTTTCTTCAGCAAGATTGTGTCAGCCAAGTACATTGCTGCAAACAAGAATATGTAACTAACTAACTAAATAAAACCAAACATTAAAATGTGCAAGGTTATCGTCCTTGTCAGTTGCCAATATTAGGAATTGTAATTTGTAATGTCAAATGATCTTTCCCATTTCCTGAGGTGTTTTAGAATATAGTTTTGCATGGGCAGGGTCCTTTATCAACTCTACAATTCTATGATTCTTGATTGGTGTACAAAATTTCAATGTGGGTGATTTTTAGTTGTTTTTATCTTATATGAATCCCCTGAATTATGTTTTTATAGTAAAGAGATGGATTATATATGAATTAAGATATATATTAGGTGGACATGTTGGTGCTGACCTTTAAATCCCTAAACGGCCTTGGTCTTGTGTACCTGAAGGCGCCTCTTCACCCACATAGTCCAGCTTTGACACTGAGATCCAGCTCTGAAGGCCTTCTGGCAGTTCCCTCACTACAAGAAGTGAAGTTGCAGGGAACCAGCCAGAGGGCCTTCTTGGTAGTTCTGCCCAAATGTCAAAGAGCTAAACAATCATAGGACTTTCCGCAGGCATGTGAAGGCAGCCCTGTTTCAGGAAGCTTTTGATGTTTGATGTTTTGGTGTGTTGCTTTATACTTTGCTGGAAGCCACCCAGAGTGCCTGGGGCAACCCAGTCAGATGGGCGGGGTACAAGAAATTAATAGCAACAACAACAACAACAACAACAGCCTAATAAATCACATCAGACTGGTTCCCTAATTGAAATCCATCTGTTGTCTTAAGCAAACACTAACAGAACAATTGGTAGTTCTTTGGGACTCATTTTAACCCCACTTATGTGCTATTAAACTCAATGAGTAGGCATGTATTGGGCTGCAACATGTTCCCAAATGGCTATTTAGCACTTGAAATTTTGAAATTTGTCGCTTGTAAAATATGTGATTCTGTGTCGTTCTGAAAAGCCATTTATGGTCTCTCCAATACATGTGGTCTGTGGCTTCATGTCCCCCGAGCCTTTGAAGTTGCTCCGCTCTCTTTGGGGTGCTCCATGGATGAGAGCTAAAATTCCAGGAACAGCCTGGCATGAAGGAGGAAGCTTGTGGATTAACTGAGCAGAGAAGCTTTTGCCCCCTGTTTCTAATGATGGTGAAGCCAGGGGCATCGGTCACTTCTGAGGTTGGATCTCTAGCCTAGTAAGGGGAAGGAAGGCAAGAGAAGCAGCCTGGGACTTGCTGGAGAGGTTCACTAGGTTCCCCCTTGCTCAGTGCACTGTTGTGGCATTATTCTGTGCTTTTCACATGTACTTTAATTCTCACTCTGCATAGTAAGAAAACCTGGGGGAATCAGTCACGAAGCTATTATTGAGAGAAATAAGATCTGTATTTAGTTCTGTAGCCAGAGAACCAATCTGATACCGGGGGGTGGGATGGGGCGGGACATAACAATGTGTAGACAAATCCTTTGAGGGCAATCATAACCCTACGGTAATGAACACAGTAAAAATCCCCTGTATGCATAACATATCAACCAGAAGTCAGCCATCAATATTTCAAGGCAGCTTTCCCAGGGAACTCTGTCCCTTTGACATTTTAAGCGATCAACTGATTAAAGAAGTGAAATGCTGAAGATGCTGGTAATTTGGTTTGACAGAACTGATGCCCTGAAGTGTGAAAACTAACAACTCTCTGTAGAAAATAATATAAAACTTTGCTGGCTTGCAGCATTGGGCACGGTCAAGCCCCAACCAACATCTGTATTAGATCAGTTGAGTCATTTTGTATGAAAAGTGCTAATGTGTTAAGAGGCACCCCTAAGGCTGCATTGTAACATGTATCCCGTCTGCTCTGAGCGAAGCGGAGCCCATCTCTTCACTCTGAAAGGGAGTATGGGCTATAACTTGCTCTTTCGTCCTGCATCCAGATCAGACCAAGGTTTTCTATAACCTTGATGTTTTTCCTATGTATTTGTGCTTTCCTCAGAATACATAGAACAGAGGGTGGATTTGGCTTTAAAAATCATGTCCTAATAAATGTATATTGTTTTGTATTTCCTGTCTGATTTCTTTCCTATCATGGTGGGTTGTCTTAAGGCAAGAGGCACCACAAACTGGGAAAGTCTCTTGCAGGAGTCCAGTTCAAGTAAAACAGACATTGTGCTCGAGCTTTGTTTGTGTTCTCGCACTATCCCTTATGCAGAGCAAAGCGTTTTCTTTGTGTTTGCTGCTGATTGCACTAATTAAAAAAAAAGTAATATTGTTTTTGTATGTGTTTCTGTTCTCCCTCAGATCACAGACACTATTCAGCTGCTCCAGGATAAAATAATACAAAAGGATAGCAGGCTTTCTAAAGCAATGGTTCATTGTGGTTCTTTGCATATCACCCTCTCTGTTCTACATTTGGCCAGTGAAGAAGCAGTTGACAAGTAAGCATTTTACTCTGAAATAACATGCTGTCTTAAAATCTACTTAAAAGTGTGGTAACCCAAAAAAGGGTAACAGAAACATTCTGGTTTCATTTTAACTATAATTATGACATTAATGACATATAGCTGGGGTTAATAATTTATATTAGTAGTGTTATGCCTTCTGTGGTATAGAGGAAACTTTATTCATATAAAAGTGCTCACATCACATAGGTAATAAGGGGACAAAATTATATGCAAACCACGGATAATTAGCTATGCAAACTGGAGACTGCTAATCTCCCCCCAAAGATTCCTGCTAGCCCATACCTTTGTTAGTAATTTGGAGCCCTGTGTGCAGTTCTCGTAGCCTCATCTCAAAAAAGTTATTATATAGCTGTAAAATGTAGAATGATTAGAGATTGGAGTACCTTCTTTAAAAGGAAAGGCTAAAGCATTTAGAGAATTTTATGTTTGATCAAAGATAATTGAAGGCCAAACTGTAGATTACTTTAATCACATAACCTAAAGGTCATAGCCCTGATGAAGTGAAGAAGGATGGAATTTTTGTCCAGTTTACATCTTCTTCTCAACATGCTGCAGTCTCAGTGATGCTTGGACCCCTCTGAGCACGCCTCTTAATAAATACAGTGGTACCTCGGGTTACAGACACTTCAGGTTACAGACGCTTCAGGTTACAGACTCTGCTAATCCAGAAATAGTACCTCGGGTTAAGAACTTTGCTTTAGGATGAGAACAGAAATCGCGCAGCAGCAGCATGGTGGCAGCAGAAGGCCCCATTAGCTAAAGTGGTGCTTCAGGTTAAGAGCAGTTTCAGGTTAAGAACGGACCTCCAGAACGAATTAAGTTCTTAACCCAAGGTACCACTGTAGTTAAAAACATGGATGTAGCTTAGCTGCTACACACTACACCAGCTCTCTAATAAATATATCATAGCAAAAGGTTTTGTAGACCAGAGCCCACATATCAGATGCATACAGGATTATCCTCTGCTGTCAGGAATACACATATATGAAGGAAGAGAAAATATAAAGCTATTGAGTCAAAACACCATGAAATGATAAATTCCAACACCTGTCACTGGCTAATCTCTCTCTCGCACACGCGCGTGCACACACACACAATTCTTACATTAGTACATTAATATCCTGACTTTCTTCTAGCATGGGCCTCAGTTTAGTATCCAGGAGGTCTCCCATCCAAGTACTCATCAGACTCAAACCTGCTTAATGTCAGGAGGTGGTTGCATTATGTGCTGTGAGGCCGTATTCTAGTCTATAATGGCCTCTTTAATAGTGATCCTTGTAATAATGAGGTGTATAGCAACTAGTGTAGTTGAGTCAGCTAATATGGTCTCCAGTAATGGAGTAAGATTGCAATCTTATGCACACTTACTTGGGAGTAATCTCCCTTGCACTCAGTGGAGCATGCACATGTCATGAGTGAACTAACAAATTTGCTTTGTGAACCTTTTGTACACCTCTGCCTTTGGCTCTTTGTTTTTGACAAATTTGCTTTCAGCAAAGTATGGCATGGACTTAAGTTGCTCAGACTTCTCAGTGCTGTAGCTAATAGCTGGGTAATTTAATGAAAGTGAATCACAAAAGAGAAATGGACAAAGAGATATAATGAGTCCACAACCAATCCTTCCAACAGCACTATGCTAAAAGCTAAAACTCTTCCATTTGTTTTCCTTCCAATAAATTTGGGTGTGATCCTCAAAGTCTCGAGTGAGTGGCTATAGAGCTCTGTCAATGTGTGCCCAAGTAAGGGCTTTGAGGACTGCAGCAGAATTAGCTCTCTGCACAGCTTTAAATTAAAAACTGAAGAAGGGAATGCGTTTCCTCCTTTCTGACAAGTGTAGTCTCTAGTCATTAAATGTCATGTTTTGTTTCATAACGTCTCTCGAAATGTGCACTGCTTCTGAAGAACTGCTTTGCCACATTCTCAGGCCTCTCTCTCTCTCTCTCTCTCTCTCTCTCTCTGTAGTGCAACATCTTTGTCCAGTTCCAAAACCTATGCAGTAATGCAGTTTACATTTCCGCGCTCATTATTTCTGATTGGTTGAAGTTGTGTCAACTTGATGGCCTGTATATTTGACAACACAAGTGATATATGCAAATACCACTTGAGAAACCTTCAGTTGACAGGAAAAAGTTTCATCTTTCATTAATTAAAAATAGTTAACATTTAGGCTTGTGGAGAAACCCTTTATAACACAGCAGGCTTGAGCAGCTTAGAAGCTAGAAAACAGCTTATTTGTTTCTTGATTTGTTCAGTTATTTAGGCTTTTATTCTGCTTTTCTGTTAATCCGCTGGGCCAATTACACACACATGTCAGTTCCCCCTCAATTTACAAGGATGAGTCCTGATTCTTGTTACTTCTGCTTCACATTAGCCACCAGGAAAGCAATCAAAGGCCACACAGCCAAGACTTTGCATTGCAGTGTTAAAGTGTGCAAGCACCAATCACATTGCTCACTCATTGCCTGGATACTTACTATGACCCCAGCAGTGGCCTTATTAGACTAGGAGGTACCCACACAAAGTGGGCAATCTGTGTGATTGATACTTGCATATGTTGCTGCTGCTGTGTGCAGCTTGTGGAAATGTACCCCATCTCAGGCCATGTGTTAGCTTAGCATCTGCAACTGCTTCCAGTGTAAATAAAACCCAGGGTTGTGTGGCTGTCACTGGAATGCCTCCTTTGGGTGTCTTTGTCGCCACAGTCAGCACACAAATTCCTTTGCATCTACTCTTATTATTCCTGAAGCATGTTCTGGTCTGAACTGTGTGTTTCTCTTCACTGTTCAGTTTATTTTTATTTGATTTTAAGGGCTTTCTCTGCGGTTGTGCTTTGGTTTATGTAGGCTACATTCTTCTGGTATTTCTTTCTACGCTCAAGCAAAAAGAGCCCTCCATTCTTCATCTGTCAAAGCCTCTTCTCTGCAGTTCCCATAGTCACATATCCAGAATTTCAGAGAAGGCTGACAGGAAGGTCCTGGACTCCTTAGCAGCTTACCTTAACATTCACAATCTCTCCTCTACATAGCTGTTACTCTCATGACTCTCATATCTTCCCAGCACTCTCTGATAGTAGATTGCTCAAGATATTTAAATAACCTATCTTTGCACCCAGCAGACAAGTTACCGTGCATTCCTGCAGTCCCTCACCTCACTAGTTATATTCTTCATAATTGATTCACCCAGAACAAACACTTTGCATACCCAGCCTATTGATGTTTCATCTTCTGCAGGGATGTCCTTATCTGAGAGGATACTCATTGTAGCAAACAGCATGTCCTTGTGGCCTGGGGTTGTTGAGTAATCCTCAGCAGTTACTGCTCTAATAATTGTATTTATGCATTGCTGCTTTAATCATAATAGGAATTTTAGGTCACAGCCTTTTTTATTTGCGAAGCTTAGCATTGAACTCACTGGTAATACTTGCTTGAGTACATTGACCTGGTTTTGACTCTGCCTTTAACAAAGCAATTCGTAGGGAAGAAAGGCCAGAATGAAAGGAGACTGAAAATGTTGAGAGCGCATATTACATTTAAAATTATTAAGCTCCCAGCTAGCTTCACGCAGAATAGAAAGCTGACAAATAAGCAGGTTTTTTAAGTGGCACAATGCCAGAATGAAAGTGAATGCACCAGCAACACATCATTACCCGTCCTCATCTTCCAGCAGTTTTGTGCCTTTCTTCTTCCTGTGGGCTTTTGGAGTGAATTGGCCCTCATACCTTCCCTTCTAGTGATTTCTGTTATTTTGCACAGAACATTACTTTGTGGAAACACCCTAGGCCATGACCCCAAATAGAGAAGTGATAGGTATTACAAAACAAATTTGAATCCAGCACAGTCTGTGTCACCAGTCTGAGAGGATTCTGCTGTAATGTGAGATCCAGCTGATCCCTGAGGCGCAGAGCTCTCATCAAGGGCGAGGTTGTATGTTTTAGCAGAAGTGAGAGTCTCTCGTGCTTCTGCTTTCTTTGCTGCACTGTAATTTATGAACTGGCTATTGACCAGATACGGAGCCCATCACACAGAGAGTCTACTGAGGATAGTAGCTTAGTAAGCCTTCATTTTCAGAACAGCTATCAAAGGGTATTTCTGATGCAAAAGGCAAGCTGAGCGACAGTAGCAGGAGTGAAAAGGAGGGGGGAGGGATAGGGGGTGTCCATATTGTAAGGTGAAAAGAAAGGGATGTCTTAATTGACAGCATATTCTAGTCAGTCACCTGCAAGTAACTTGTTCATAGTGTGCTTTTGACACATCAAAACCAGTATAAGTCAGTGTCACAAATGAATTATGTGGCTTTCCTTTTCATTTTTTTGTGGGGAGGAGGTTTGTAAATCTGGTGTGCAATTCAGAGACACCAGATTTACACCAGTGAGAGACACCAGTGCAGATTCCACCATGCAGAGATGTAGCCAGCTCCTGTTTGTGTGGTGACTGGAAAAATGTGCTGCCATAACAGCAGAAACTGTTGCCAAACACTGCTTGTTGTCATAAGCATGCAGACCAGTTGCTCTTGATGTTTCTCCACATGATGCCACAGCCAAGAAGGGATTATGTGGACCCGTAATGAACTGAAGCCATCCTTTAAAGCAGTGTTTATCAAGGAACCCTGGAGTTCCTCAGAAGCATATCTGGGGCTACTCAGAAAGAATAGCAGTGACAAATGAGCTTCCTTGAACGGCAGCTCGCTTAGGATTTCCATTGCAACAGGAATCTTCCCTTGTAGCTTGCTCCCACAGGAAATGACTAAATATGTTTATGAGGTGCAGCTGCATGCTTATTTCATATGGGATGATGTTGAGGCCCAGAAGGGCCTGCTCAGTGCCCCCTGTAGTCCAAGTGTGTGCCGAGAATGTGCCCCAGAAGTCTCTTCAATGCACTGTGGTTTCATGGCTAAGCTCTTTGGCATACAAGAAAATGTGAAAAAATAACCATTGAAAGCTGGAAACATTTCAAGGAGGTAGCTGTTAGGATGTCTGCCTGCCTTAATTTTGTTGGAGCTGTGATTGCAGCCTTGGCGCTAGCCATAAAAGAAAGAATTGCTCAGCCTGCCATATCTTTCACTTCAGGCAAAAGGGTCAAAACAGGTAAGTATTTCCTTTCAGGACTGTAGGATAGAGCAGGTAAGTTGGGGGCTGATGGAAGACAAAATGAAGGTGGTATAATACATCTTCCAACTCACAATATTTATTGAGTAGACTTTCTCTGATCTTGAGGATGTCTGCTCACCAGGTAGTTACTGCCACCTAGTGACTATTAAGTCATTGTCCCAATAATAACAGAGAAATAACTGTCTAGTCAAATTAATAAGGAGAGCCCTGCTGACCATAGCCTTTCAAATATTTTATTGATTTTTGTTAAGAAATACAAACATAGCAAAAAGAAGAAAACAAAGAATCAAAGATCTAAACCACAAAGCGTCATGGCCTGGAAGGACAAAAGTACAGTGCAGCTCCAAAGGAATAAAAAAATTGACTCATACAAAGATTCCCTTTACAGATAATAAAGATACATTGAAATCAAAGTATTTTCCACCTGTGAGTTCTATCTTTATTGGGAATAAAGGTTCAATGAAGTCTTAGATGAGCCATACATTTGCATATGCTTGTGACACTAAGCAACCATGTGCCTCAATATTCGTGTAAGAAATAAAGATGTGTAAATTCAAGCTCTTTCCTTTAGATGCTTTTTGATACCATTTGGACACATTTTCTGATTCCACATCAGATTGAGAGCTGGTATTTTATATAGCTGTATATGCACAATATTTTAATTCACTCTTGTCATGCTTTAAAAATGGAGGGTGTAAAATGCAACCATTAAGAATATTAAGCAGAAGAGTTGGTATTAATGAATAACATCAGTTCTGATATATATTTTTCCTCTTGATAGTGCAGTTGGTGCTTTCATGGCGAGTAAAGATTTAATTGAAGAACTACTGCAAGGAAAGCCATTGGATCTGTCTTTTCAAGGAACCGATCACTTTAGACATCAAGTTGGATTTGTGAAGTTGACTGACAGTGATCATGCAACCACTCTTTTAAAGATAGCAGGTAACTCTTTTTAGCAGTGTTACATAGTGCTCAAAAAGCATCTCTTGACACCCTGCTAATGTAGATTGGTCCTCTTACTCACTTCTGTTTAGGGGCAGCTAACTTTGAAAACTATCTGAAGAAGTGTGCATGCACACGAAAGCTCATACCAATAACAAACTTAGTTGGTCTCTAAGGTGCTACTGGAAGGAATTTTGTTATTTTGTTTCGACTACAGCAGACCAACATGGCTACCTACCTGTAACTTTGAAAACTTTGCATAGCTGCGACATCCTGATCCTAACATGTTTATTGCAAAGTAAATTTCACAGCATTCCATGAAATGCTTAAGACTGCATTTGGGCAGGCCAATCCTCTCATGACACCACACCAACATCTGATGCACCAGCGCTTGCGCAAACTGATTCTATTTCTGATTCTATGCACTGCTCTTCAGCTCAAAAGAAAGCAAAACAATAGTACCAGAAATAAGAGTGATAACATAGGTCTGCCACCAGCCCCACAGCACTCCTACCCACTTTGTCTCCATCCACCTGTCACAAGACTGATGACACACTCAGACCCAGCTCAGATGCAATGGGAAATGGTGGGTTCCTCCTATGAGTTGCAGTGAGCCTGCACTTTGGTCCAAGCTTGCTCTCACAAATCATAGTTTAAGCAACCCTAACTTAAGTTTGAAAATCTTTGGAGCAGTAAATAGTTTAAATTTGAAATTGGACATTTTCAGTCTCTTCCTTAAAGGTGTGAAGGAGGAGAGGGAATGTGTGAACCTAAGAGTTCTTGTAGCAGGAAATCATAGTTTTGCTTAAAGTATGAATTGAAGGTACCAGTGCATGAGTAATGATGGCAGGGGTGCTATGATGTCACAAACCCATCTCACGTTCCCTCCCACACAATGCATAAGAATACTTCCAGGAAGAACCCACAGTGTTTCCTTTGTCAGAGACAATCTCCCAGAAACGGACCAATCACACAACTCCTTCCTTCTCTCTCCGCCCTCCATGAAGGTCCTAGCTGTAGTACTCAAGTGACCTTATGGTGAGCTGTAGCTCAGTGGAGTAATACAGGTTTACCATAGAAGGGGGGCTCAGCTTTGATTTCTTGCTACATGCTCCCAGGAGAAAAGATTGGAAGGAGCCTGACATGCACCTGAGAGAGTGTGGTGTGACTGGCGCATGAAACAGTGACCACACTTGGGTCATTGTCTGACTTCCACAAGGAAAAATGGGGTCAGGGTATAGATTGGTATGCTTGGTGTTCACCAATAAACGTGTTGGTTTTTCCAATAAGCCACAGGGTAAATATGTTCTTATGCTGTGTTTTGTTTGAAGGAGACCGTGCTCCTACTTGTATCTGATGGAATTGAATTTAGTCCATAAAAAGCTTATGCCATAATGAAATTTGTGTGGGCAGAGTTCTGCGTAGCACTAAGGAGATTGTTTCATCAGTGCAAGCATTTTTGCTCACCCAGCAGAACCATCTCCCCTTTGTTCTCCCACCTCTCCACACTGTTCTAGGGATTCTCCCAACCTTCCAGAGCAGATTTGGAGGAGTCCTTGCAGTGGTTTCCACTAATGCAGTGATGGCCAAACTTGGCCCTCCAGCTGTTTGGGGACTACAACTCCCATCATCCCTAGCTAACAGGACTCAGTGGTCAGGGATGATGGGAACTGTAGTCCCCAAACAGCTGGCGGGCCAAGTTTGGCCATCACTGCACTAATGGAACCAGGTAGTTGACTCCTGCTGGACCTTTGTCTTGAGGGTGCCTCAAGGCCCTCCTTTAATTTTGCTACTACTTGATAGTTGAGAGTTGTTTACCTGCTGCATTTTTCATATTCAGGGCAATGGAAGGCATTCTGTGGTCACTGGCATGCTCAGGCAGGAAAGGATTAAGAACGTGGGAAGGTACCATTGGTCTATATATTTCAGTATTTTCTATACTGGCTGCCAGCAGTTCTCCAGGGTTTCACGGCAGGAATCTTTCCCGATCCTAAATGGAGCCAGGGATTTTATGAATGCAAGCTATGAATGATCCTTTCCCTAGGGATTGAGGGTGTTTGGGAGTCACACTTTGAGGTGTAGTTTTCCCCACCAGTTAGATCCTCCCATTGCCAGCATGAGGTGTCTTGTCCCTACAGCCCCTGTTTCAGCAGTAGAGTTGAGATGATAGGTAGGAGTTTCAGGGACGCGGACTTATAAAAAATATTGGGGGGCCCGGGAAAGCTCATGAATAATAAATAAGCTCATGAATATGCAAATAAAGTGGCGCCGCCTCCTCGTGAGCGGAATAGGGGAGAGCGTGCTGCGCCTATTAATCAGCTCCAAAGGAAATTGGGTGGAGCTTTTGCTCGGGAGGGAGGGCAGGAGGCATTGCAGCCCGCCCCTCCCTGTGCATTTTGGGCTGGGGGAGGGGCGGCGATGGCGCTCTGCTGGAGGGGCGTCGGAGATTATTGGGGGGCGGAGCCCCCCCAAACGAATTTTTGAGGGGGCTCGGGCCCCCTCAAAGCCCCATGGAGTCGGCGCCTATGAGGAATTTATATCTGGAAATCTGATTAAGTTCAAAACTTCAGATAATTCGTACTTGGAAACATTTTGACAGATTTTACTTAGCAGTCTTCTATTACAGAACACATAAATGCCAGATTTCCATTAAACATTAACATCTAGTAGGATGAGATTAATTGGACATTTATTCATTACAATGATATATAATTGCTCGCTGTTCTACTAGCTACTAAGTGCACATTCTAGCGAGCTTTAACATCAAACTTTACATTGTAATTCCACTTAGAATGAAAGTGATAGACTAATTAACAGATGTGCTAGTAATTGCTATGGATTGCCTTAGAATCCAGGGGGGGGGGGAAAGTTCATTATAACCTTCTGATAAATATCACCGAAGTGGCTTTGAAGGGGCATATCACAGATATATAATATGCTAATAAAAAAAAAGATTCTTAAGATCTATTTCCCCCTCTTGAACATTTATATTGAGCATGACCATTGGACAGACTAATTCTAGCTACATAGCAGCACAGGATTGATAAGATATACTGCCACAACTTAATTAAGATTAGAAACTCTGATGCAAATAAATCTATAGACATCTGAACCTTTTCTTTCACTCATATACAGCAACTTTGACCAAAACATACTGTATTTTTTGAACAAAGCAGAAAGGTCGATGATTGACTTAAATTTAAATTTATCCTTAATTAAGAGAACCCTTCCCAGCTTTATTATCAGCAATGATTTTGGCACATGGCATTCAAGTTAGAATTCTTTTAAACATGTGCAGTTACTCCAGAGATCAGTCAGTGAAGGTATGAATGCATTTTCAAAGCAAGTTTAAATCCATGTGAAATATTAGTGTAAGGCAAGTTTTATGTGAAAGAAATATGCTATTTTTATCCAAACCTTGACTTCATTTGGTTATTTGCATTCAGTAATTGGTCAGGAATTACATTATCAAGGTTTGGCTTCCATTTTAGATTAACCATAGTTTTAACATCTATCTCCAAAAACTGAATTATGCTTAATTTTAATTATGGAATGAAAACAAGTCAGCTTTATAAACTCTAGTTTGTGGTTTGTTTGTTTCCTCTAACCAAGAATTAGCACTACTATAGGTCTATCATAATATTTAAGATACCACCCGACTGCTATGGGTTTGGACATCACAACAAGCTGTGATTAGCTTAAAACAGAAGGAAAAGTTTTTGAACTTCGTGTCACACTGGAGGAGATGGGTAATGTTGAGCCTGAAGTTTTCCACAACTCGTTAAGTCTTATGTGAGAATGCAGCTTTTGGGGGGTTCTCCCATGCTTGTCCTGAGCCTTGTACTTAACCGCAGGAACCAGAGTGCTGAGTCTGATCCTATTTTGTCCACTGCAGTGGAAGCAATGGAGTCACTTTATTTATTTATTCATAAATGTAGCTAAGATTTCAGATTCCAGAGCTACTCTAAAGGGAGGGGAAAGGGAACAAAAGTGAATGTTGCATAGGAAAACAGAGACCAGACAATCTGTTAATGCGTTTTTATTGAAAGAAATTTAACAAAAAGATCTCAGTGCTGAAGAAATGCCTGGAGTTTGTCATTGTCCTTTTAGACTGTATCCCAAATTCCAACCGTTTCTTGGAAAAGGTTTCTTTTAAGACATTATTAGAGGCAATGAATGATCTTTTGTGTTCTGAGGAATGTGAAGTCATACCATGCCTGAACATTGCGTGACTCATATTAAGGCATTCATCAAAGTTGCAAAGGCCACTGCCATCTTGGTTATCTTCTACATAGCCTTATATAGCATGCACAAGCTTTCTCTTTAGCTCTGCTCTTTACGAATAATTAGTCTAAAACCTGTATTTTTTCACAGCACAGTTGGAACTTACAGCAAATATTTCTGTGTTATCTCTGCTCCATTCTTTTTGTTTGGGGAGCCTATGCCTTTGGCCCTGTATTTCTGTTTAAATTACAGTAAATATTTGTAAATTTGTAACTATGCAAATGCCAATTTTTTGGTGATGCATGTCAACTATTTTGGCCACGAGTAAGTGACCACTCTATCAAGGCTTATGCATTTTGCTTTTGCCACTGTATCCTCAATCAGCATTCATATCAACTCACAATGGGATATTCTAGAAAACACAAGACTGGTGGCACTTGTGAATCAAGATCTAGCTTCAATTTGTGTTTCTTTCACGTGGAGTCAATTTCTGGCCTAGTTCTCTTGGTTAATATTAACAGTGGTTCATGGTTACATGTTTACTGACAGTGACCATGGGTAACACTAAGTATGGTTGCTTCTTGAAGCATATTTTCCCCCATTATTTGAAGCAGATTTGCAATCCATGGTGACAAGGGAACCGAGGGGAAATTAACTTCAGGAAAAAGAGAGTAGGTGGGTGGAGTAAGGACTTCCTGTTTTCCAGGCTGTATTCTCATTTGCAGTCAGTGGATTAAAAAGCAGAGACATCACCTTGCCAACAAAGGTCCGTATAG